TGCCCACTCATCAATCTGACCCCTTTGAGGCTATTTCACTAGCACCACCTGGGGGTAAAAGTTAAGATGCCTGTGAATATGTGTGTGTGTGTTATGTTTGGGTCACCAGGATCTGAGGATGGTATTGGTTGGAGTCCTGCAACCCCAAGAGAAGAAGCCATTCTGATCTTGCCCAGGCTAAGACCCCAGGAGTCAACCACCTGGTTGACCTCATAAGCCTCAGGGGACAGGTTAATAGGCCAACTTGAGCCAAAAGTGGCCAGTCTCAGTTCAGTGTTCTTCTGTGCTCCCTTTGGGGGTCAGAGGAGGTGGTCTGGGTCAGAATGAGGCAATGTGCCAAATTACTCACCCATGCATGGTCCACCTCAGAGGAGTTGTTCTGCTCCCTCACTTTATAATGCTGAGTTATATAACTGCTGGTTAGCAGCAGTGCCTGAGGGGCTTTCAAACTTCACATACTAATGCCCCCAAAGAGCAGACCCAACAGCCTGGTGTCTATCTGGAAGTGGTGGCAATGGGGTTTCTATATGCAAAAGGAAACACAAAAACTCAGGCTCTATTAACTCCCTCACACAAACACCACCACATACTCACATAGAAACACATTGTTAAATACAACCCACTATAATACACTCCTCCCCTACACAAGATCAGATCATGTAGCATAGTCTTTTACACAGATGTCCCTATAGATAAATTTCTCCCTTTACCCACACAGGTTCCACATATACTTGTCACATGAGCCCATTACACACAACTTCACCCAGTTACACACACACTTATTATATCCTCGAACATACACACCATTATAAACACTTTATAAAGCTGCAGGCACACCCAAAACATCCATGCCAGTGATCAAATTCAACTAGCCCAATGTCTGTAGAGGTGAGGAAGTTGGGAAGGGGGTGTCTATCTTTGCTACTGAGACCTTCCTCCCCCTTCCTCCCCTTTCCCTCTGGTCCCAGCTGCTCTTCTTTTATTAGAGACTTCTTTATTTGGTGTCCGAAGAGAACAGTGGGGGTGGAGTGTGTTTATATGTGTGTTTATGTACGTAGCTGATGAGGCGGATGGGGATAGCTTGGGATGGAGCGCAGATGGGGCAAGAGGCACCCGCCTTAGGGTAAAAGAACAAGGACTTTCTATTTTATGTTTGGAGACAAGGGCAGTTATGCTATACGGTACTGGAAGAGGAAAAGACTGGGATGGGAAGGGGTACCATGGGAACTGAACTGCAACCTGTGCCTTTCAGAAATCCTTTTTAAGATCACCAGATTTAGAATAGACCTTGGAAGTTATCTAGCCCAAGTCTTTCATCATTACCCACGAGAAAAACTGAGCCCCAGAGAGGCTAAATAATTCCCCTAAATTACTACTCAGTAAGTAACTGTGCCAGAATTTGAACCTAGGTTTGCTGAATGGAAATCCTCTGAGTTTTTTCACTGCTTCATGCTAAGAATCCACCAGCACTTGCTTAATAATGGCTCCTGAGAAGCAACAGGACTCTAGAGATCAGGTCTCACCAGACTAATCTAAGCCTTCTTCACTCAGAGGGAGTTTATCTGAAGTACTTAGGGTAGAGAGGAGGGGGAAGGAAAAGAGTCTACTGGAGACATTTTCTATCAGGGACTATTTCCCAGTCTGAAAGCTTAAGGGAGAGCAGGCCTTGTGTCAAACTAAGGCACCTAGCTGATAGAGAGAAATTTCTGTTGGACAGTTGTCCTCCAGAAAGCTATTTTATATAACTAACAAATTAGTCTTTCTAATACACTCGATGACCAAATACATTAAATGACTCCGTTTACTTTCTTGGACAGAATTAGAATTGGCTTCACCAAGTTGGAGATATTGTTAAGGTTGACAAACAGGAAAAGGTTTTCTAAACTGTGCTGAATGCTGTACCTTCGAGGAAGAATTAAACATGGACTAAGAATAAGATTGATAAAAAGATCTCAAGGTCCTGGTGTACCACAAGCTGAATGACTACAGTTGGTGTTTACAAAGGAAACGGGCCCACAGAATAATAAGCACACAAACACATTTGCAGGCTTGCTAGGGTAGGAAAGGTGAACCTCTGTTCCCAGGCATCCCCATTTTCTCAGGCTTTGACAACTTTTGTAAGGTTATCTTTGGATGTGCTGAACTCTTCAACTGACAGAAGGGTTAGGGACTGATCTTACATTAATGGGGAGGGGAAATTATATCTATGAGGTTAGAGGTATCCAATAGTCTAATAAGCATGTATGAAGTGCCTATTATGTGCCAGGTAGTATGCCAAGTGCTCAAGATTCAATTAATAAAAAGAAAGACAGTCCTTGACCTCAAGGAGCTTATAAACTAATGGGGGGGGGGAGGGAGAGACAACACAAAATAGTATGAGGTTTTTCCAGAGAGAAGATGATTGGGGAGTGAAGTGTGGGGCAAAGGAGTGGTGTGAAGAGCTGAAAGGATGACATGATATGAAATAGTCTTCATCTCCAGGAAAGACAGAAGGTGTGTATAAGTCCTGTGGTTAGACATTCAGAGTCACTTCCTTATTACGTGGCATCAGCAGGCATGAGATAGCTGAGGGTGAGGATCCCACTACTCTATAGTTTTGGAGTTGGGGAAACTCCAAAGGAATGACTAATGGATCCTATGCTCAGAAGAGGGAAGCTTATCTATAGAAAGGGGAATCAGCAGGAAGATGAGGGATTATGTATGGTTCAGATCTCTCTGGTCCCTCCCCTACCAACGCTCAAAGACACAAAGTGACCAGTTATTAGCAGAAACATAAGTAGGTTGGAAAAGGACAGAAAGAGGATCAAAGGGGGACAAATCCATGTTAGAAAAGACTCCTGCAACCCCCAAAAGAGGTAGGAATAGGCGAATTTTGGGGCAAGGAAGACCTCAGACCATTTTCCCACTAACATCCATGACATAAATTTTCATCTTTACTGTCATAGGAAACCTCTGGAGAGTGATGGGCCAATGAAGTGTAAGAGGGAGGATGGAGATGAGAGGAAGGAGAAGGAAGAAATAAATACAAGAGGAGGAGAGGGGCTACTCCCTCTTCCTTGGTTTTGGGCAGGTAGAGGCAAAATTCCTAAATGTGAAAATATTGTCTTTGGCCTTTTCCCATCTCTCTCTTTGCTCTCCTTTCCTATCCCCAGGTGAACCCTCCCACGACCTCTTGCACTTGAGGACCTAGAGGGTCATATTCGGCCTTGAGAGCACAGGTTCCCCACCCCTGTCCTAGATCTTCCCTTCACCCCTTCAAAGGTCTATAGACACACAAAAAATTGACAAATAGTCAACCAATCCTCCAGTCCCACTCTCTTAGGGAAGCTGATCTTAGGTACTGCTAGAAAAAAGGCTCTGACAGTATGGGATAGTGGAAAGCATCTTGTACTGAGAGGGTTAGGAGACCTGGGTCTGAGTTCTGGCTCTGCTCTTGGGCAAATCAATTGATCTCTATGAACTTTATCCGTAAAATGAGAGAGTTAATAGGGCATTGGCTACATTCAGATATGGTTAATACATATGTGTGTATTAACATATATGTATGTATATGTGTGTGTATGCTTAATTGTTTTTCTTTGTCACAAGGGATGGTTAAAGCTGAAGGAGGATGGGAAATGACTGTCATATAAAGATGAGACATCAATAAAATTTATTTTAAAATCAAATTAGATAAAAAGAAGGGGTTGAACTAGATGATCTCTAAGGCCAGCTCTAGCAATCTACGAATCTGTAATTAAACTAATCCACACTAAGTGTGGGTGACTGTTATTATTACCCAAAGGCATCTGCATTTTGAGAGAAGCTTGTAAACCCAAAGGAAGTGATGATTGGTGGGACTTTAGCAAGGTTATACAATGAAGGAAAAACATTTGAGCTGGAGGTGTCTCAATATTTTGGGCAGAGGCCATCACATCCAGCTTCAGAGTCTGTTGTTCATTTCTCATTAATTGTCTTTCCTTTCCTAACTTCTTCCCAATCTCACTTCTGAATCCAGAGATTCTATCAAAACTCTAAATATTATTGTCAAGGGATGGCATTAAAAATAATAATAAATTTTGAAGTGGACGTTGCCTGTATTTTCCCAAAATTACCCACAATAGCCAGATCTCCATACACTAGAAATCTCAAAACCAAAGATTTCTTTTTAATCATCAACAGTTGAAGCTTGGAAGCAAATCTCCAGGTTCATTGACAGGTGTCGTCAGCCCTGGATGGAAGCAGCTTCCGTCTTTCCCTGAGACTCCTGACATCTGGGGGAACCTGCCGGTCCAGAGACTAAGGAACTCAGGGGTTCTGACTCGGGATCTGGAAGAGGTGAAGGAGAGGCCCTGTTTGCCAGGGTGAGACTGGGGCTGGCTATTCTCTTTACCACCTCTTCCTCCTCTGTGTCTATGTCCCACTAGTTTCTCTTTCTAGATCGCTTCCTACGACTTTCCTCTTTCTCTTTCTACTGCCCTATCTCTTTTTGGTTCGCCTCCCCCCCCCCCATTTTCCCCCCTATTTCTCACTCTCTCAGTTTCTCCCTCCGCCCTCCCCTAGTCCCTCTCTCTCTCTCCCTCCCTCTCCCTCCTTCTCTCCCCCTCTCCTCCTCGCTGTCATTCATCCCGCTCCTCTCTGGTCTCAGCCAATGGAGAGACAGGGCCTAAAACTGCGAAGCTACATCTCACCCAGGCCTTTTCGCCCAGTGATTGATGTCCCAGAGTCAACAGCGAGCGAGAATCCGGAGGAGGAGAGGAACAGGCGGCGTCCCCCCTCCCCCCGGCTACTTCAGCGAACCCTTCCACACTTCGCCTCCAAGTCTCCCCGAGCACCCGGAGCGAACCCGAAGCTGGTGCCGGCTTCTCCCGCCTCCGCAGCCACGCTGTGCCCCGCGCCCCACTGCGTCGCTCCTGCCCCCTGGCCCGCCCAGCCCAGCTCTGCTCCGCCAACCCAGAGGAGCTCAGCGCCCCCGGCGACTCTTCGGTGCCTGTGTCGCCGGGCCCCCAGCGGGGCCGGGGCCCCGGCGCGCCGGGGGACATGGAACACCTGGCCCCGCACCACCTCCACCCGGGCCACGCCGAGCCCATCAGTTTCGGCATTGATCAGATTCTCAACAGCCCGGACCAGGGCAGCTGCATGGTGTCCGCCTCGCGCCTGCAGGACGCAGACTATGGGCTCGGCTGCATAGTTAGCAGCGCCTACAACACCATGACCGGGAGTTACGGGGGAGCCGGCGGCGGCAGCGGTGGCGGCGGGGCTGGCCCCGGCCCCGGGCCTGGGGCGGGGGCGGGAGCAGGCGGCGGCGGCGGCGGCGCGGGGGGCTACGGAGGCGG